GATGAATTTTCGCAGCCCAAAATATTTTTGGGTGAAATGGCTTGGAGATACTTCATTGGTGTATATACATTAAAAAGAGCACTACATGTACATTGCCACTTGGAGATACTAAATTGATCTTCGAGTGTTGAAAAATATTTCATGAGTGAGGGCAGTATGATTGTTGTAGGAATGTGGCTGTGAAGGCCAGTTTTTTTATAGTTGCAAATATATTGCTTTTAAAAACCTCCAGGAATGTAAACAGTCACAGTGATCACGAAAATGTGTTCATTTTGAAGTGAATTCTGTCTCAGAGACCTTGGTTGCAACAATTGCTATGATTGCTGAAGTACTGTTTTTTGCCATGCAAATCACACAATAAATCAGTCTTGAAATGCCCCAAAGCCATAGTAGTATCACCCGTACAACTGTATACAGTTGATCTAAAAACTTGTCGCTGTGTGACAACAGTCATGCAACATCTTGGGTCATCAGCCTCCACGGGCTTAAGGATTTGGTTTGAAAATAAAGGTTACTTCTGCCTCCAATATGTAATGTAGTTTAAGGGCAAATCTAGTACTGGTAAATCTTTTTCCCAACAGGCAAAACATACCCTACGACAAACCACCTAACAAGTTAGAACACATTGTTCTATTTTGTGTTATACATAGCCTTGTGACTGATTTTTAACCCTATTTTTTCCAGACTTGATTGGAGAAGTGGTCAGTGGCAAAGAAGCCGAATTGCTCTTAAAGATCCATTCAATACCATGTTGAGCATCCTCCTGCGGCTGTTTTACGACTCGAAACCTGACTGGCTCATGAAACTAGTGGAGCAGGGAAAAGAAACTGTTCAGCATGGGGAATCAAGTGAGAGAGCTGAGGTTAGTATTACATGTTTAGTTTGGTACATCTCATCAAATTTAATATTGATACACCTAATTTGCCCAAGACCCTCAAATCAGGCAATCAGTCAATCTTTGATTCTGAATATTTTTAAACGTAATCTCTTCAAATTTGTAATTTAAATGAATTTGAGTTAATATCTTGTACATTTTAATAGTTTTTACATATTTTAGATTTTTAATGTCTTTGCGAATTGTGTGTATTTTGTATTTTTTTTAAATTTTATGAGATCCTTTTTGAAAACCATATTTTATATAAAAAAGTCATCTCAATAAAGATTATTATTATTATTATTGTTAATATTATTATTATTATTATTATTATTATTATTTAAATCACAGCCCATATTTCCTGAAGGTTCCCAAACGGAATGGCGCAAACCATTTGATTTTCCAACCGGGGTAGATCTCAAATTCCATGTCAGTAGAACCTGGCTTCTGGATTCCAAATGTTAGCGGCATTCCATAATTTGTTAGCTGGATTATGGATTCCAAAGTCTAGGATTTTGTTTCCACAAGCTAAAATTTTCGGAATCCGGAATTCAAAATTTGACGATTTTCTAAGTCGATAAAGACTTAGAAAAGGCAAAAGTATTCTTGCAGATGAACCCGACGTGAAACTACTTATTTATGTATAGATATAATGAACAGTAAACAGCAAGTGAAGGGAAAACTTGGTCACGTGGTATAAATTGACGTTTTCCCTTGTCCTTAAAAGTGATTCTTTTTCAAAACAGGAACATGTCACGCAGTCGGTACTTGAGTGTTTTCCTGTGTTGAGTACAAGCGATGCAAACACTGATTCAAACCGGGTTCATTCTCAGCTGTGCTTTACCGCTGGCCAAGAGACACAAGCATTGTATTTGCTTCTCAATAATCACATGTGGAAAGAGGCCATTGGTTTTGTCTCCTGTTGTGGCAGGGAGAGCGAGAATAGAACGTTGCTTTTCGTCATGTTGATAAAGGGACTTCAGCGTCAAAGAGCTCCAAGTAATACTCTTGTTGAGGCACTCGATCTAAAGCCTGAAGGCTTTAGCGCTCATGAATTGCTGGCCATAATGAGGGACCAAGCACCTGTTGCTAAGGAGCCTTTTTTGAAGGGTGCAGGACAGACAACTATTGGCGAAATAAGGCCCTATCTCGAGGCCCTGTTTTCTTCATAAGAAGCAACACAATTTTTTTCGTGCCGAAAAATTAGAAATATATATACAATATATTTTCTCATTCGCTAAATTTTGCTAAAGAATTTGGCTAATCTGAATTTCTCGCTTATCAAATAATATTCATGGATAAGAATGCAAATCTGACGAATATAAGGTGTAAACAATGTAAAATGAAGGATTACAACTCTTTTTTCACCCTTAACACACACTTTTTGCGCTCCGCACCGGAGGGTTCTTTTGCAGGTCTAAACGAAAGGTACTGTATCTAAGAAACCCTTAACCTGGCAAATTGACCCCAGCGGCTCCGCGCTCGGTCTTTACGTGACTTTACTAACAGGCCTCAAATTTCCTTATACTTTACTTTCGATTCGCAGTCATCCAACCCAAATGAATACTGGAGAGTTTTTTTAAATTCTTCACAGCGCGAGAGATCGAAAAGAGATAGGCGGGAAGAAGGGATTGGTATTACAAAAGTTTCCAGAAAAGTTAACGATTCGAAAAGACACTGAGAATAGAGAAGACGAAAATCTAAATTAAACTGATACAACTGTTGGGTAAAAATTGCTTTAATATAACTAAAAATATAAAAGAATGCTACCTACCGGGAAATAGTGTACATTAGTATAAGAGGTAACGTTTGTATGCGCAACAAACGATTGTATTTTAAGAAAATTTTTTTAAATGAAACTGCCTTTGAAGAATATTATTATAACAGCTCTCTTAAAGTTATTTAAAAATACTTCGAAGTTAGTTAATTCAGTTATTGAACACTTCGAAGCACTAAGAGGAACACCATGAAATCGTGTAAAAGTCAGTGTCCACTTTTTTTGTGTTGTGAGACTAGAATCTTTGTCTGACGTAACACGAGCCCTGCTTGACTGACATTCCAATTCTAGATAGGGTTGAGATTACTTAAAGAAAAAACTTTTCATCTTTTACGGTCGTGCACATCGCTTGTTTTCGTTTGCTCTTTCACGAAGTGCACAGTATCTTGTGTCGCTTGGTTTGTGGCGATTCTAGTAAACAGTCTTTAACTCTCCTGTGATAGTTGAAAAATAAAAGCGTCCCCGGGTGGGCTCGCACCACCAACCTTTCGGTATCGTTAAGGTTAACAGCCGAACGCGCTAACCTATTGCGCCACGGAGACGTGTTCGACTAAAACTTAAATTATTACGTTGTTGGCTTAGCTTTGCAAAAACCGACCTGGTAGTCTCAATTTTGAATGGCTATTATTTATTTACATCAGTAAGCGCTCTCTAAAAGAGAGACCGCCAGGACCAACCCCTTACCTTATACTCCTATGTAAACCAAAATTACAACCACACTACTAAAATGCGAAAATACTAATATAATAGATTATTAAAATATCAAGTTAATCAGAAAGCTAAAAATTCTGTCAATTCTAAAGGTGTAAGGTTCCGTCCGTAGGTCGGGTCCATCGTCCGTCCGTCCAACCAATCCGCCCGGTCTCTCCGACCAGTCCGACTGTTCAGTCTATCCGTTCTGTTCGTCCGTATGTCTGTAAGTCCGTCTGTCTAACTTGTCCGTCGGTCGGTCCATCCGTCGGGCCCGTCTGTGTGTCTGTCCATCTGGTCGATCCAGTCCGGTCCGTCCGTCTGTCTGTCCATCTACGAGCCGGAGGAAGCGTCACATTTAAATCACGAAATTAAAACTTTCTCAACTATGTAGTAATGAAAATGCTATCGTTCTGTCTATCGATCCGCCGGATTACACATGTATCTGTTGAACCGGCGTTCAATTTAACAACGGACCTGTTGTGGCTCAATTTCTCTCCTTTATTTAAATAATTTTCTTTTGTTTCGAACTGATATCATACACTGCCACCCCCAAAAAACAGAGGGGATTAAAAATTGAAACATATCCTCTCCCCCTCCACTTAAGTAGGACTTATACTCATTCATTGTCCCTGAGTGCATTATGAGTATTAAACGTCAAGCCAAGTGCTGCTTAAACGCGGGCCGAGGGATCGAGGCCTCTGGGATCATTCAAGGTAGCTAACTAAGGGTAGTAGAAGTCCCGAGAAACATGTTATGGTGTTTTACCGGACCGGTTTATTTTTAGATAGATCTTAGAGTACCTTTTCCCGCCTAAATGGAATCTCTACTCCGTCTATGAGCGTTTTCGAAGTATAAGATATCAAAAAGGAAAACTTAGCAATGGGCCCCTGAAGTAAGCCATGTCTGGATTCATCTAGTAGCCATAGAGACCCTGTAACGGTGGCAAATGTTGATGTAATAACACTAAATGCTAACACTCCCTCCAAAGGTTTGGAGCAGCAAATACGAATGTAAACAACAACAATAACAGCAAAAAACAATATAGAGTTTTTGAAAATTTCGTTTTAATTTAATTACACGTTCATAAATACAGTGTACCATATTTGGTCGCCTTTAGAGTGGAATATTTCTCTTTCTCTTTATATCACCGTATATTTACAAACAAATACGAAAAAATTATTTAATTCAAAACTGATTGTCAATTTTACAGATAAATGTATACTTGAAACATGTTGATCGTTGTTGAAAAAAAATTGCATTGAATTAGAATTCATTTTTTTAAAACAACTGAAAGAAAGATAATAGCTTTTTTCTTTTTCTTTTAACTGTTCTATCCTCGGAACATTTAAGCTGAATGTTCTACAAGCAGAAAACAACCCGGGAACCAATGTGGATGCAGGAAAATTTTTAGTGAAAAAGAACATTTTTATTCGAAAAATAATCTTTTGGGTACTTTAAGAGCGTTTTGGGAGTTCTTTAATGGAGGCCCACTTAACTTTAATTACAAATTACCCCGTTTACTTTTTGAAATTGTTCTAAACAAAGTTACATACGGTCATCTTAAAGAAAGTTTACGTAATCGGTCAATGCATTTGGGTGACGTATCCGAGACCAACTGCCGCGCTCGGACCACGTGACCACGAGGGATAATGAGGCCTAGGGACTAGGCAAATATTCGTTTCCCTGAGTAAACAACGCTGGCTCTGTACGGCGGCGACGTCTCTCGCCAGTTCGTAAGCGGATTGCCTGTGTACGTGAGCGGAATCCGTGCTGCCCTTCCTCTTTCTTGTCTTCAAAAGTCTCGATCTCATCACCCGCCAGATCACCTTTGTGTATGAGAACATACGAAATATATTATCACTTCTGGGTCTTGGAGTACGACACCTAGATCAGAGGTTACTGAACTGGAGGGGAGGGACTGGGATAGGGGAAGGGGGAGGCGGGGGGGGGGGGGGGGGAGGGGACCAAAAATCCCCCTTCCCACCAAAAATTTTATAAAAATCCCCGGCTCCCTTTTTTTGGGGGCCCGGGGTGTTTTTTTTTTTTTTGGGGAGGCCAAATTTTCGGCGCAAACCCCCAGAGGGTGTAGGCGTGTGCCGGTGGGACGGGATGGGATCCCTGCGCCCCCTTTTTTTTTTTTTTGTTAAAAGTGCTCGCCCCCACCCCCCACGTTCTCTTTTTGTGTTATAAAAAAATAAAAATTTTTTTATCTTTGTGGGGTTTGGGAGGACACCAAAAAAAAGGGTGGTTGAGAGGGGGGGGGGGGGGGGGGGGGGGGGGGGGGGGGGGGGGGGGGGGGGGGGGGGGTTGAAGGACCTACAATCCCCCTTCTCAGCATAAATTTTCTTCAAATCCCCGTGTCCCTTTCCTTGGGTGCCAGAGGGTTTTTTTTCTCTTTTAGGGACGACAGAATTCTGCGGCAAAGCCGCGAAGGGGCGACTAGCAATTCAGCACTTGGCTCTTTAAGTCTCTCGCGAGAAGGCGAAAGCGAGAAGACCTCTAGCATCCAGGCTAAGTGTCCCTTCGACTCAAAAAAGTCCATTTGATAAAGAAAACAAAGAAAAGTAAAATGAAAATAAAATAAAGCTGATGCAAAATGTAGAAGAAAAATGATAAACGCGAAATATGATTGATATAATTATGATATGGCCAGCTATTCTCAAGACGGAATGAAGCACTCTGATTGGCTCTTTTACGGTCAATATTACTCAGTACGCGCCATCCCGCCATCGGGATTCACAAACCTTGGCGAAAAACGTATTCTCAGTTTTGCAAAGCAGAAGATTGGATATTGTAACATTTTTAACCCAGTTTACGTCCCTTTTTATTTCACCGTATGGTTTGTAAAAGAGAGGAGAAGTGAGACGTCATATTCCCATAGTAGCAAAATTTCTGGATCTCAATTTCCGGAAAACTATGGGCCATGTTCCTGAGTGCAATCATGCACAAAAGAGTCATACATGGCATTTTTTTTCTGTCATATTTGCAGGACTATGAATCCGGAAATTTTTCTACCTTGGTAACATAGCAACGTGACGTAACGACTTCTCTTTATATTTTAAAGTACCTTCGGCTTCCTTCTTCTCTTGGTCTCTCTCTGGCACATTTGGATTTTGAAGCTGTAGTGAAAAATACTCAACACCTACAGGATCCGACATTTTGCGAAATCCGATCCGCCTGCCAGGAAAATGATTTCGTGACAGTCCTATTTCGTAGTTACTGTCATGTGATCTACTGATCGCAGCGCTGAGAGCCTCTGGGAATGATGATGCTCCAACGGCTGTCACTCGAGGAACCATTGTGGCTAGCAACTCGTACGACAGGCTCTGTTTCATTCTGTTGCGATCAATACTCAAGCCCTTTTTTGTGTCAGGGGGCAGGCTGTCAAATTCGGGAAGAATTGAGGCCAAGCGCTCATCAAGGCTAATACTTTTCGAGATAGCTTTCTCTTGGGTCACTTTCGTTTGCTGGTAAGGTTCCTCTATGCGCCGTATTATGCTGCCTACAATATCTTTATTTGGTCGCTCTTTAATGTTCTTCCAGTCGATGAACGACCCAACATCATGATCAGTTTCTCCTTTTTCACTCCCATCGCAAGAGTCTTGGGTTGGACTCTCGTCCTCGTCATCTTTGTCTTCCAAATAAGGTTGGGAAATTGGTTCCTACAAAACGCACACTTGTTATGATTTGAAATAGGTTATTTTCACGATGGGCCACTTGATTTCAACTGCTACCAGATTCCTTCAGTTTTCTATTTTGCTTGCAAAAATTAGGGTTGCTACTCTTTAAACTTTGTTGGAGTCAATTATGCTTATTTTAAAAGAAAAACTGAAGACCAAGTGACTTCTAGAAGCCGCAACCTTGGCCCCAGGGCTTTTCACGCCCTCCCGCCCATTTTCTAAGAGAAAAAGCTTGGAGACGAGGTTATGGAAGCGGTAATGAAATGATTCCATGGTAAAAAGGCCTTTAAAGCACGTTATCAACAGAACCTTCAAACCCTGCTTCAAACTATTTATCTAATTAGTGACCTGATCTGTTCAAGGATGTTTTCTGGAACAGGCGGTTGTTGCCTTAGCAACTCGTAATTAAAATGATAACAACTCGAAGCTTCGCAAAGCATGTATGGATTACTAGGAAACACCAGCGAAAAGAAAGTAATTTTGCATTTTCAAGTCAATTAAGTACTGTTCCAGTGGAAGTAATTTACGTTGTTCAAAACCTCAAAACCTAGGTTATAAAATTCTAGTAAAAGCCTTAGATTGCCGTTTTAACTTTTAAAGTCAATTCGTATTAAGCAAGGTATCTTTCCTTTGTAACTCCACGTAAGTAAATATTCATCTTTAGATCGTGGGTACTCTAAGTTTTTATTAAATACTGATTTATCTGGCCAAGAGGGAATTGTTACTTCGAAAAAATTTGGCGCCAATTACAATACTTTGTAATAATAGGATTCCTTAGCTTGAAGGTCTTGTTTGAGCTGTCACGTTATTAAGCTTCTCTTTGAACACGTCACAATAGACATAAGTATCAGAGGGAATTCATAAAGAGGTAAAATTTCATCCCTTTATCGTACTATCTGTACCATAACCATGGGGGCATTCTTTTTAGTATTAGTCTTTTAAAGTCATAGACTCATTTTGTATGTATTTACCTTTTGCTTCAACTCTAGCTCCAAATTTGAAATTCGCTTTCTTAATTCTTCGTTGTCTTTCCTTTCCTGGGCCAAACTCAATTTGACAGCTCTAAGTTCTTCTTTGGTTTCCTCGTACTTCTTTTCGAACTGTCGCAAATATTCCGCCTGTTGGCAAATGCTGGATTCCTTGGATTCTAGCATTTTGTTGTATCGGTGGGCGGCATCTTCTTTTTCCTTTCGCACCTCTTCAAGTTCCAACGCGGTTTCCGTTATAGCCTTACAATAAAAGTCCCGCGCTTCCCTGTAAATTCTTGAATTATCTTCTGCTTCTTTATTTGAGCGTTGCAGTTCTTCTATGTCCTTTTCCTTGAGGTTTAACTTCATCATTAAATCGGAGATGTCATCTTGTTGGGAAGTACACTTGCTCTCAATGACTTCTTGATTTTTCAGGGCTTTTTCTTTCTCCGCCACAATAAGATCGTATCGCGCTGTCAGAGCTTCAGTCCAATGCTTCACTTTGGTTAATTCCAGAACTTCATCCTCTTTCTCTTGCAGCTCGCACCGTAACTTGCCATTTTCAAATTGCACTTCCCTCAGTTTTTGCTTCAGTCCCTCGTAGCTCTTCAATTCTGCTGATTGAGACTTCAATTGCTGTGACAGCTTAGTTGTTTCTCTTTTCTTAAACGTGTTTGAAGCTCTGGCATCTTCCAGCTGCTTTCTAAGTGTTTCATTTTCTTCGTGCGCTGTAAGCAGCCTCATCTGAAGCTGTATAATAAACTGGTTTGTTCGACCTTCGCGTTGAATCACTTCAAATCTCTGCAACAAATTCTCGCCGTCTTTGCTAGCACTGGACCGGGCCTCGCTTGCCAAGGCTTCTTGCGTGTCGGAGACTTGTTTTTCGAGTGCCTCGATTTTCTTTTGCTTTCTTCCCTGCTCTGACAGGCTATCGTCTAACCTGCGCCTTAGTTCGTTGTTTTCTTTTAGTACTTGATCGAGCCTGAAGGCAAGGTCTTGTAATTCTTCGGACTGTCTTTTGACAAAGTTACTCAAGATTTCCACATCGAGAAAGCTCGAACCTCCACCTTAAGGAAAATTGGTAACAACAACAATGCTAACAACAGCACGAGGAACTTTGTTACGGCAAATAATACGGGAAAAAGCTTGGGCAAACGCTGTTTAGAAGATGTTTCTAGGATTAACTTGATCTTGACTGCTTAACTGGAATTCAGTTTTCACAGGGACAAAAGAAGCCCACTAGATGTTAAACGAAGTGAGTTTATCTTTGTCTATCTTAATGTGTACGATATCTATCGATATAGGTTACCTAATACTCTAATGACCTAAGTAGAAAATACGTAATTTACGGTAGGAATATTAAAGCGACTGTGCAACATGTCGATGATACCACCTCATCAGGAGCCGACTCCTTACCTAGTATAAAGGAAAAGTGACTGTGGATCAATTTAGGTTTCGGGGAAACTGCCCACCTACCCCTCCCCTAAGTCATCATTTTGCCCTAAGTGAGAAGTAAGTGTTAATGTTATCCGTGACTGTTTCTTTGTGGTTTGGGTGTAAAATGGAGGAGCATGGGGGTTCGGGAGACCGGGAAAATAGAGGGCGGGATGGGTTCAGGAGGCGGCAGAGGGATGGGTGGAAGGTGGGAGTTCTAAAAGAGTGGAAAAAGGGGGGAATAGGGGTACAATTATGTAACAGTGCTTAATATTTCGAACTTTAAAAGAGCTAAAGAGAGGAAGCCAGGAAAAAAGAGGCGAGAGGTTTGGACGCCCCTGTCCTCCCTCAATGAATGAAAGTGCATACTGATCTCATCCGCCTTAAGTTGTTAATATGATCATTGGTCATAATGATTGTAGTATCATCGAGACGTCGGATCGCGTTACTAATGCTATAGTATCTGAGTTTCGATGAGTTTGGAATTCGAAGGGCGTGCTCCAAAGTGTAATAGGACTGAAACGGCTAATTAATTAATCTGTTATCATTTAAAACAGCTTTAAATAATAGTAGATCTATAAATTAACTGTTTCAGTTCTATCGAACAAGGTTACTAAGAAGACGCCTCCTTAATTACGCTGTCTCTATAGTTTAAGGTCAACTAAAAAAGAGTAATTTGTGACTCACCAAAAGTGATTTGACTTTTTATCTCCGAAAATATGGGGTTGACTCCTGAGGAACATAAAATGAGTTAACTACTAAGATACACCTAAATAACACCTATATTGACTTTACCTAGACTTCAAAATAACGGGGTTATTTTATTTATTTATTTATTTTTTTAGCGGCGCGAGGGACATGTCACTGGGGCTAGAGAAAAAGGTTTTTAGTACTACTCTCCCCAGTCTCACTCCGTTTTCACCCTCACTCGAGGACTCTTATTTGATCGCTCGCGCGCGCTGGTAAAATCATGACCTATGCAAAAAACGGACTGTCTTGCCGTCTAGTCTTTACCGACCTACTGAAAAAATCGTGTACAATTTTTAAAGAATACTTTCGAAGGAAATGAACAAAGTCGCGTCATATTGTAAATCAGTATGACGCTTCTGTAAATGCTTTTGGCATATGGCAGATCACACGATACGTTCAGTAGCTTTCGGTGGCTATATGTGTTTCTGGTTTCATCTAGGAACGAACTTACATGTCTACTATTTGACAGAAGTCATTGCTTTCATTAATAAAGCAGTGCCTTGTTGTCAGTAGAAGTCCCCTCAATATCGTTCCCAGGGTCCTCTACTACGCATCTCCTGGAACCTGGGAGCGAACTTGGCTAGACGTCTCTTCAGTTTATACCGTGATAAGCGTTGTACATACAGCAAACTTTAGGATCTGGCCTTGTGTTAACTCATCGCTTACGAGAGGTCAAAGACATGGAAAAATAAGCTATGCGATCCAAAACGTGGTGGAAGTCGCATACAAAGTTTTCCAACTACCATAGGGCTTGTGGTGGGGAAATATTTGGTATTCTGAAGAGAGGTGGTCCTTACCTCTTTAAGTCGCTTAAAGAGGTGGTCGCAAATGAGGGGTTCGAGTGTAGCAGCAGTAGTACTTAGAATAGGCGGTGATAGTGGTTAGAATCGTAACAAGCGAACTCTCTGTCAGTTTAAATGAATTTTCGCAAAATTCGAATTGTGCCCGAAATGGTATGAGTACGTATCGTGCTTGTTTCGCTCAGAAAGCGCTAAATTCCTGAGAAAAATGTTAACAGTTAGTTCGTGTCTTTCCTAATCAGTCCATGAAGCACCATTATGCTTTTCAATGAGTAAAAGCTTCTTGTTAGACATGCGGCACCAGTATTTGACGCTAAAATTTGCATGCTTCGTGCAATTTCGTTCGGAATTACTTACAACCGTTACAATAGGAGACCGAGAGATAGGTAAGGACTCCAAATTCTCCGCCCAATTGCTATTGGTGCATGAATGTAATAGTCCATCGGCCGCATAGACAGAGGAGATTGAAACATTAACAAGTTAAAACCCCCACACTGAAGGCAAAACCGATATTTGATATAGGATCTAGACTGATTCATAACTATTATTTTGGAAATATAACTAAAAAAACTCAACACGATAACCGCATCGCAAACGAATACGTTCTACGTTTTATATTCAACAGTATTAGCAATCACATAGATGTTAAAAAAGTAAAATTCCGGGTTTTGGCCGGACATAGTTCAGTATTTTAAGAGCAATCACAAAGTAACAGAACTTACTCTTCGTCGCACTTTCTCCTGTCATCATTTCATATAAGTTCGGATTTACCACTTGTAACACGTCAAGAAAATGACAGAAAGCACTCTCTCCTTTCATCGCCAAGATATCCAGAAATCTTCCTGCCTTGGACTCGCTGGTTTTCTCAGCTTGAATCAGCTCATAGTCCGTTTTATCGAATGTTTTCTTGCTTATTAGGTAATCAAATAAAAACGTACGATCCACCTGAAGGTTTTGAACAATAAGCAAACGATGTTTCGTCAAAATATCAGTGAAGCTCTCGTCAAGTTCGTCCAGACTCATGACGAAATCTTTACAAACGCGTTTGTCTCTCTGAAAAAGTGAAAAATAATTAAACTGGTGTGCTTAATGGACTATAATCAGCGACTAAGAAACTGAAACCATCTTAGATCGCTGAACGGATATTGTACTGACCCTGGTTCTCCTGTTTATCGTCTGCAATGGAACTTTCGTTCCTTGAGATTGCCCAATCATTGTATTTTTGAACGATGATAAATTCATTGTGAAAAGAAGGTCTTAACTCAATGAATGAGGTATCGAAATTACGGAAGTTAGGTCATTTTCGTACGGAGCGGTTATAAAATTTGGAATGGTACGAGGACTGTTATGCAGACGACTCTCGATGAACTCGAACCCATTCTGGGGAAACGTAATAAAAAAGTTCGAGTTACAGAGAGTTCGAAGCAAGTAAACAGGCGGAAATAAGCAAATGTGGTGGGGAAGGAGTGCTAGTATCATGAACACTTCACTTGAAGGGCAACAAAAGATATATTGATATTCAGTTAAGAAAACAGGAATCAAGCAATGCTTGATTAATATACATGGCTAGACTCCGTATTTGAACTGGACTGACAAAAAAGAAAAAACAAAGAATTCACGGTGGCTTTAAAATAAATTCATTGTTTTGGATTGTAGTACACGATTATATTCATTAATTTTTTTTTTCGACTTGTCACACTGCACGCTTAAAAGAAGGTTCGAGTAGTCGATGGTAAAAATTATATAAAAATGGTCTGAAGGAAAACAAAAGCGAAAGATTTCAGTTTTCGAGTGCTCGAGTTATCTAGTGCAAAACTACATTAAATATATGAGGGAAATCCATGGATAATTGATTTTGGTTGGCGTGAGGTTAGAGTTAGTGAGGGTTTTATTCATCGGGAGTCGACGCCAGGGGTACTTCCTATTTCGGCCTATAGGGGAAGGCTCCGCCCGAAAGGGGAATCTTTTTCAGGCCTCAGGTATCTGAAAGGGTAGAGATTTCACGAGTTGAAGTATATAAAAGGTAGAGAAATCTGTCATTTTGGACGTAAAAATAACAAAGAGGGCTAACAGATGCTTTTTTGGCTGTGAAAAGTCACGAAAACGTTCCGGTTTTGTGATTTACTCATATTTGTAAGACGGTGCACTTACAGCAGTTAAAAGTGTTGTAAAGTTCTAAATTAAAGTATGTAAAAGGGGTATCATTGTCAATAGAAGGTTTTCAGAAGGGGTGCCTTTTCTGTCAAATACGGTATATAAAAGGGATTGGACATCGGGAAGGAGCCTCCCCGCATTAAAATTTTATAGTAAAGCCCCCTCCCCCCCTTGGGCAGTCGACTTACACCAGGAAGCTAAGACTTCCTCTAACAAATGAGATATTTAAGAGAGACGTTCTGAGAGCACAAAAGAGGAGGGCTCTCCAAACTATCCAAGGTGCTTCACAGTCAACGTACGCAGTCTACGCTTAGCTGAAGCATGAACTAATTGTTTTATAATTGTATTTCAACTGAGTGGAGTGCAGTTTGGTCTGAAATAATAAACATGATTTTAAAATCGGGCGCAGCGCAGACACGAAACACGACACGCGAAGTTCAATTACCATTTTATTACAGCTATTTTGAAATCGCCAAATTCAGTCAACACCAATATTCCAATATTTTATTGATCCAGTTGCTGGTTTGTTAAATGTGGAATAGGAAACGCTTTTACATCTCATTTCGTAAACAAAACTGAACTGATGATCCTATTTAGAACATTTGTGATTTGGGGCTAAAATGTGTTTCGTGAATAAATCACATTCCTGAGAGCCAATCAGATTGACATAATCACCACAATCTCGTTCCCAGGGGGCTTTTTCCTGGCTTTGGAGGTTAGGGAAAAGCCGCGCCACGGGGACGAGGTTGATGATCGCCAGTGATTTCAAAAACAACATTCTCAAACTTAAATTTAATGATTACATCGCGCGCTCTGAAGACGTTTGCTTCAAAAATATATGTATAATAATAGTCGTCAGCAACTAGATCATTTTAGAACTCTCTCAAGTATTGAAACTCTAATCCAACTTGACTGACATGGCCTTAATTCTGGAGTTTTACTCTGTGGTGAAGGTGACATTTGCCGAGTCTTCTCCGCTTTCATTGCCTTCAAAGAGACTGAAGTCAGAAAACAATTAATTTCGGCTCTTTTAGCACTCGTGAATCTTGAAAAATTTTATCTCCTTAATAAAATGGATAGATACCTTGCGCGTAAAAACTGGGCAATACTCATCTCTCCTGTTGTAATATCCACAAGTACTTCTAGTTGTCAAAAAAATTTAAGAGCCGTCATCCTTTTTTGGCTGAACTCTTAGAGTTTTATGACGTTAATTGCCCAAACAAATCCAAATTTTAAGGTAAAACACGGTCACAATGAGGCAGAAGGAAGGGGATGCTGTCTACAAATGAAATGGATAGACATTAAAACTCCTTAATTTTCTTGTGGCCCGGATGAAATTTAAGCGTTTGCAAACAAGCTAGTCTCCAGGGCGTTTCACCTAGAATGGGTTGTTCTACATATGGACTTATTCGGTCCCTCATTCTTTTTTCCTTCCGAAGCTTTCTTAGCCCTGCGTACCCGGTTTGACTTCTTTTTTTTTGTGCCCATTCCCAGGCCCCAAGTGGGAACCAAATTAAGGTGGGGCCCTGGCCCTGAGCCCCGCGCCCCCCTCCCCGCCCACCAATTATTTATAAAAAAAATTGCTACATTTTATTCAAAGCAACTTATTAGCTTAGTCTTTATTCTCATTATTTTAGTTCTGAAAGACATTTAGTAAGTTCGTTTAAATGATTATGGAAGCTAGAGGTAAATATATAATGGTGATTGAGCTGAGTGGAATGCAGTTTGGTCTGAAATCATACGCGTGATTTCAAAGTTCGATTTGAAATCACAAGTATGATCTCAGACCAAAATTTCACTACACGAAGTTCAATTACCACTTTATTACAGCCATTTTGAAATCGCAGAATTCAGACAGTACCAATCTTTTATTGATCCATCAGCACGATTGTCGAAAAGCGGAGACAAAAAGGCTTTTACATCTCATTGTGTCCTTGAAACAGAAATGATGCGATATAGAGCGAAAATGGTGCGATTTAGAGCAGAAATGGCGCGAGTTAGGACATGAATGACGCGAGTTACAACCAATGTGATTTAATGCAAAAAAAATAGTGTGATTCGTGAATAAATCACACTGCTGAGAGCCAATCAGGTCGCTGGGATCACCAGTGATTTCAAAATGGATATAATAAATATACTAACTCCTTAACTTCTAATATCTAATATCAGGGCCACTGAGGCAAACGTTCAAATGACCGTGTACAGTGTATAGTTAGCAGTATTACTGAAAAAAAAAATGCTAAGGGCGTGTTCGACGACCGCATTCCGAAAAAGGATAAAAGAAATAAACTCTAAAAATCACTCATTTTGGCGTTCATTGCTTTGCGATAGCTAACCATGACCAAGGACACCTAACCCTGACCATGTCCATGATTTCTAATAAGTTCCTTTCGGCGTAGTTACTAATAATAGTACACGCAAATCTTATATTCACTATGCGCCCATTTTTCTGATTTTGTGTCACTAATACACTATAACTTAGTATGTGTCGATTTAAACACGTTCTAGATTATATTGTAGCTAAGTGATAGATTCCTAGCCCCGGTTGGATAGCATTATCCACCGGATAAATCACTATCCAGCGGATAAGTATTAGGGAAACCAAACCAAGATTTTTATCCGGTGGATAGCGCTATCCAATGTTTGAACAACCAGGGCCTGGATGATAAGTCCAGCGGGTGGAACCCTTCACAAAATATCCAAACTTGGTCAAATATTACTGCAAGCTTTTTCTCGGATATGACTGGTTAGTCAAATGTCATCTTAAGTCAGTTTGACTTGGAAGTTAAAGGCAAGTCAAGGATCTTTTTGAGGTACGATTTCGAAAACCCCACTCTTTAATTAGTTTGTAGAGAATTCGACTTACAGGAAAAATCTGTTAATTAACGGGTCTAATGTTACTGTATATTTATGTGAGTGTATAAACACTTTCTCTCAAGGTTTCGTCATTTTCTTTTTTAAAATAACTGTATCGTGGCCAAGTNTCCACCGGATAAATCACTATCCAGCGGATAAGTATTAGGGAAACCAAACCAAGATTTTTATCCGGTGGATAGCGCTATCCAATGTTTGAACAACCAGGGCCTGGATGATAAGTCCAGCGGGTGGAACCCTTCACAAAATATCCAAACTTGGTCAAATATTACTGCAAGCTTTTTCTCGGATATGACTGGTCAGTCAAATGTCATCTTAAGTCAGTTTGACTTGGAAGTTAAAGGCAAGTCAAGGATCTTTTTGAGGTACGATTTCGAAAACCCCACTCTTTAATTAGTTTGTACAGAATTCGACTTACAGGAAAAATCTGTTAATTAACGGGTCTAATGTTACTGTATATTTATGTGAGTGTATAAACACTTTCTCTCAAGGTTTCGTCATTTTCTTTTTTAAAATAACTGTATCGTGGCCAAGTTGTGATATTTGCACCTTTCGTTTAGTGTAACTACTGGAAGTTTTGTTGTGTATAAGAACGAATGCTAAAAGATAATGAATTATGAATGATGACGAAGAGACTAGCAGGTAACGCTAAACGACCTGTAGAGTGAGGGTGTAACTTTTGTTACAATTGGCCAAATTCAAATTACCACTCCTCCAAACGCCCTTTCAATGACTTGGAAAATTATATGCCCTAGAATCGAGAGACCCATACCTAAAGAATGTTATATATGGGGGCGGGGACGGGGGATTATGCAAAGCTCCCGCCCATTTTTTCCTGGGTTTTTCCTTTAAGGCCTTTTTCGATAGCGAAAAATTAAGTATTGTGGCGTAATTTCCCTCCTTTTCTCCCTTCTACCACCCTTTGAGGACTCCCCTTCCCACTTTTTTCTCTCCCCCCTCCTGTACACCTCTAGCCCCTATTCTCTTGGGTTCCTGTCCCCCAGTCCTCCCCCACCATACATACACCCTCACAAGACAGTTCTACTGTTTGGGATTTTATCCAGTTAATCAGAAGTAGATGTTTTCGTGTCGGTCTGCTGGAAATCAAAATGCTGGCAGTTTGGTGCTGAGGAGCTACGAGGTCGTTCATCTGCGCTCAAAGCACTGGATCTTTCTCGGAAAGGCCTATTGAGAGTTGGCGACATTAGCGCATTAGCTACTTCCTCTTCGTCCGGTGTTAGCACTCTTTCGCCTCCATTTTGCACTCCATCGAGAGACAAAGTAATTGATGTACATTGACTTTTTGAAATCTTATTGTATGACGGGTTGTTCGAGGCCTCTTTAAAGCTTGGATGGCGTCTCGCTAAGCCGCTTTCGTCACTTGAAGAACTGGTCTCCTCGCGGCATCTGTCTGACTGCACTGCTGATGAACGAACTGAATTTTCTTCATAAGAACTTACCGAGCTCCCCGATGACTTTTTTCGCTGCACAAAGTCTATGATCTTCGAAGGAGAAGAGACACTTTTGAAGTAACGAGGTCGTGATGGACTTTTATCTTGCTTTTTTCGACCCCTTTTGGGAGACTTTGGCTTTCCATTGGCTTTAGAAACGTTGTTGACCATAAGCTCCTGCACTCCAGATTCCACGCTGAGGGATTTTGCTGAATGATCAGACTGTCTTCGCTGCTGCCCAGTTTTATCACTTTGAGTGGAGCGAAAGGAGGCATAAAGAGAACTGCTGCTGTCCGTGTAAAAAGGAGTTGTGTTGCACACAGAAGCACCAAACATACACTCCAGCGTATTATAAGTCGGACAGCTTTTAAATAGACTCCTGTTACGATTAAGACTGAAGGACTTTTGGGCTGCCGGCGAAAGACTCCTCCTCTCTGGAATCATCGAATCCAGCTGTTCATCCAATGACAAACCTTTTTCATTCTGAGCAGGTGGGGATGAAGCCTCCTCAACAGAATCTCCACCCCCTCTACTCGCCTGAGAGTTGCTGGTAGCGACACGTTTTTTGACGCTGTCTATAATATCAGTGGTTGTTCGCCGTGTCCTCCAATCAAAGGACTCCTCACTGCTGTGTATACTGTCTCCATCGTCATCTTCCACGCTCCCATCTAGTTTTGCTTCCAGCGCTTTCTCGGAGTCTAAGTGTAGATTTTTGCCATGTTTCTGTCAAAAATATAAAACAGGGACTGTTAACTGAGCCAGGATCCAAGCAGGTCCCTTTTTCTCCCACAAAAAAAAAGACCAAAGAGAAAATTCCAACGGTCAAGCCAACACATCACTAACAGACATGTAAAATGAAGAAATTTAAAGTTAAGAAATACTCGCCCATTAAGGAAATTCTTGATTCTGTCTAATTATATGCATGTCTTAGTTCGTTGAACAGGAAAATCCTGCACCAATACTAAAAACATTCCCATACGAATCGAAGAAATCAGGCATTCTGACATAAGGTTTGTTTTTGCTAGTGGTTGATAAGATTTGTTCTAATGACGATTCCGATTAAGGAAAGTCAATAAAAAGACATCTGTCGATCGATCCGGTTGCCGACAGCGGCCGGGTCAAAGCGAGGTGTGTACCCAAACCTGTCACTCTTTCAACACGGAAATTTTCAATGTTTTCACGTGACTGTAGAGTTAAGAACCCGTATAAAATTCAGTGAATGTTGTCGATCCGTACCAATGTCTGTTAGCATCTCCTTGAAAGTGAAACTTAAGAGACGCAAAAATTTCCAAATTTCATTTTGTAAAATGCTAAAAAAACCTGAACATTAACGGTAACCGCAGACTCAAAAGTTTGAAGCACCTTTTGGCTTCATTATTGACTCGGGTCATGTAGCAGTTGCTTGGAAGACAAGTCACCAATGGCTCGTTTCCCTGACCCCAAACAATACTAAAATAATTGGAAAAAATGACATGTCATTGTTTCCTGCAACCAATTAGGAGAGACCTTCCTGGGTGGTGATCATGAAATGTTAAACAATGGCGTTCGGCTCTCTAGCTAGACGGCAAGGATTGAAATAGGTAACCTGTTCGAAACATTTGGCCTACCAAACATTATGGCAAGGTTTTGACAAAAATATGGACACGAGAAAACCAATCAACACTTCATTTGAAGATGCACAGAGGCAATGATGGAAACACTATTCAACAGTGCTCAGTCAATGATTAAGTAATAAAAACAGATGCTTCACTTACCTTTGCAGTATTATAGGGATGGTCAACAAGATCCGATGGGTTTCTTTGAAGCTTGACTTTCCTGGACTCTTCCATCTCAATTTCAGTTTGGTAAAGGCGTTCCTTCACTTCATCCAGCTCTTCAGTGGTTTTCTTCAACTTCTGTTCAAACTGTCTAGTATATTCCATCTGTCGGTCGATGGCTTCATCTCGGCTCTGAATTACTTCTGCAAATCGTGTCGTTAAGTCGTCTCTCTCCTTCCTAAATTGCTCCCTTTCCAATGAAGTTTCTTTCCAGGTTTTCTCGAACAAGTCTCGCTGCTCTCGATAAGTGTTAGCTGTCTGTTCATAGTCTTTGCAGCGCTTTCTCAGCTCCTCTTTTTCGCGAACGGATATGGTTAGCCTGAGTTCCAGTTCGTCCGCTTTGTCTCGGAGCTCAGAAAAGTCGGCAACTGTACTCTCATGAGTTTCCTGCGTCTGCTTTCTATCCTCTTCCACGATATCATAACGAGCCTTCAGTGCCTCCGTCCAGTGCTTCAGGTCTTCAAGTTCCTTCAGAGCTTCTTCTTTTTCCTCTTGAAGTTTTTGATTGGTGAACTGAAGCTGGCGATATTTCACCTTAATTTCTTCAGCGCGTTGGATGTTGTCTTTTTGAATTTCCAGTTTCTCCGTCAGCTTAATGGATTCCCGCCTCTGATTGTCGTAGTTCTTGGAAATCTGCGCAAATCGATTCCGAAGGTCTTCTCTTTCTTTGTTGCTCTCTTCCAGCTTTTCCCTCAGAGTGTCAACTTCCTCTTTAGTGGTCAGAAGCTTCATTTGAAGAGCGATTATAAAGTGCGTCCTCTCCAGCATTTCTCGATCCTGGAGTTGGCAATGTTGTGCCGCGCCTTCCACAACTTTCTTAGCGCTGGAGTGAGACTCCATGAGCATAGCCTCGGTGTCAAAATAACGCCTCTCTAATTCATCAATCAGCCTATTTTTCTCCAGTAGATCGCAAGATGTTCTGCTTAATTTCTTCTCCATCTGCTCCTTTTGTTTTAACACCTCTTCGTAACGAATGGTCATATCTTGAAGGTCCGCCATAGTGCGTTTTAAGTGATTGCTCATAATGTCCAAATCAGGAATATATCCATTCGGTCCTGCCAAACAGCAAAAAAGAAACCTTTTGATCAATAAGAAATCAGTGTGTTCAGTGTCGCAGTCAAAATAATCACTTTTCTTCTATTCACTGAAACAGGAACAAGCTATGGCCCGTCAACCGGATGTACGTATTCGAACACGGCTGGGAGAAACCCACTGACCTTTTCCCAAAATATGATAAGGGTGTAAGTAAGTCAATATGGCCCAAAAAGCCCCCAAAAGTTTCCAATGAACATATGCTGGGGTGTGAAGGTAATTCAACTTTGAATAAAACAATTAATCACAGAAGCAGCAAGAAACTAATGGTTTGTGACTAGCGTTAAGGAATCCAAAAGCTTTCAAAATACCAAGATGAATGACACTGAAATATCTTCCGCCTTCTCACAACATCCTGTTTACGATTTGTAACAATTTACCCTATTTTTCCCGCAAAAGTTTAAGCACTCTAATACCTAGCTTTCATTTTTATGTTTTTTGACCCTCTAAGCCATAAGAGTGATAAGCAGCAAATTTCTCCTTGTGTAATGTCAATGGTTCATAGAACAGAATGGTAATGAAAATTAAGGATATGATCTCGCAAGATGAATTAAATTGATACTTCTATCGGAAATGTATGGGGGGGGAGGTATAAGACCTTAATTTTTGATATTAGAGTTTAAGGGGTTCGCACGACGAGCTGAAAACACATGCGACTCCCAAATATCGCCCTCCGCCTCAAGACGGTCAAGATCACGCACAAACTACAAAATAATGTCAAATTTTAAAATAGATTAATCGCTTGGCGAACCGCAAATCTAGTTTTAGCTCAACGTTTTAGGTTCATTCAGAAACCTCCATCGTTGTTACTCTAGCAATGAACCTAAAATGTATCAAGTTGGTTAAAGTGGCCTGGGATTTTTTCCCAAGTACATTTTGTTTCAATCTCTAGCTTCATTTTAAACAATCTCCTTGCATTAATTTCGGCAATCTTGGAAACTTTACTTGTATCACTTAAAAAAGGAAAGAGAAAAGACCGAAAAGATTATAAAACATGTTATGAGATAGTAATGAACAAAGCTGAGAAGAACTGAGTGCAGGTTTAGAGACGCTTCTGCAGAGCATGCGCAACAAACTACGGCGGTTGCCTCGCGTTATTACGGTTAGTTAAAAAACGGCTCACCTGAAAGCAATGAAACTGTAGCGTTGATGAAAAAATTGTCAAACAGTACGTTGAAAAGGGAAAAACATTCTTGATACTTTTAATTGTCATGCCTATAAATGTGAAGTTGATGATGACAGCTAAGCTTATTGACAACCTACCTCGGTTATAAACGTGCAAAAATGCATGGACTGTTTAGTTCTAAAGAAAACACTTTAACCGGCCTGGATGTCTCTTTTAGTTTACCGACTAACGATATTAGACTGACCATAAACTTCAGTCCAATAAAGTTGAACAATTCGTTTGATACTTTGTATCACTTAAACAGGAAATCTATTGTCCGAAAGGTTTTTGACCCTATTGAACATCGAAAGCGGAAGCAATTATCAGAAATTGCACGCGCTCATTCCCTACTAAAACAAAGTTGAAAGGGAAAAAATGACAATGTTGTAAATTTTGGCTGTCAAACTATATTTTTCGCTTTTTAAAACTATCTGCTTAACTTAATTCAGTAGCAACAAAGTCATAAAACAGAAGGGAGAGAAATTTCCTTTGGATCTATATCAGCTATATAGTATTCTGGTAAGAAAACTTTTTTAATACAATAATCTTGTACTATGCAACCCTGTTCGCGCAATGCCTGCCTTGCCAATACAGTTGTCGTTCTGAAATTCTTTTGCTGAATCAGTATGAGCTGTCGTGCACTAGCTCACACACCGAAAATGTAGCCTCCTCTCACAGGGTACTGAATCAGTCGTTTTCCGTCTCAACACGAATAGTAATTCTTCTTTTGTAAAAACAAGTTATAGAAGCGTGTAAATTGACGTGTTATATCTTGCGTGCGAAGTAGTTTTCGTTGACATCCAATCATTTTTCATTTAACAGCATGATAAAAGGGTGAGTAAAGTAATAACCAATAGGAACACTATGTGCTTTACTCTCGTCGGCTATTGCCCACTTGACCAGATAAAGTCAGTTATTGCCAAAAGAGTGTTATTTTCAGTATAATTTTAACCTATGACCGATTAACTGGTATGTATCAGATACATTTTTCTTTATATAGATTCGCAACATGGACATTCACTTGAGGGAAACTTGTACCCATAGCAACTATCTCATTCCTTTTGGTCAGCGGCTAGTGGCGACCCCTGAGAACTCTGGGTACGAGATGAACTTCCAAGAAACTGCTGTTTCAGGGAGTATCTTCGCTGAAATTGTATGAACTCATTTCTTATGAAAAAAATACTTGTCGAAGCATCCTGGAGACGTTACATGATGGATCGATACAACTATCCGGCTCGTTCCGGTAAGAAAACATCAGTTGTTTAGCTTGGAAACGTTTTTTTTTTTCATTCATTAGCTCGTCAGCTAGTCTCACCCTTCAGTGAAGAATCGAAAGTGGACATTTTTCCACAGAAAAAATATTGACTCATTATTTTGCTGGCAGAGCAAATTGAATAACAAGTAACCCCAATTATCCCTTTGTTTTACTAGCAGATATCAGAAATTTCGCAGCCAAGGAGAATCTAGGAGTTAACATATTTTTCAGGTATCTCTTCATTTTATAAATAGACTACCTAACTTGTGACTGAAATAAATAACTTGCTTACAATTTGGGCCATGTTGGAGGAAGATTAAAGATATTTATGCATAGTCTTTAGAAAATTACTTAAACAAGCTAAAGCTTCAGGATGCTTGTAGCTAGAGCCCTCATAGTAACTGAATGGTGATACTGAAATGAGAATGCAATGCTATTGTTGTTAAAACAATGAAATATGCAATTCGGATATAAGTCAATTGCAGCTGTCAAAATGGAACATCTGCTGACTTGAATCAAATGACCATATATACCTGCCAATTTTTTTACATTTATAGGCGTGACATTTTTTATCTTAAGAGTCCCAAGATTTTTCGAAGGGTCTGATAAAATCTGAAAATGTCCGAAGACGTTCCGAAGAGTTCCGAAGACGTTACGAAGAGTTCCGTCTAACACGAACACGGGAACACAAAGGAACATTGACTTCCCTACTAAAAAAAGAGAATTCGCAGAAAGTCGATCATCCACATAGACTTTTCTTTTCTCTCTTTGCTTCTGGTTTCTTTAAATAACTAATATATTTTTCAAAATGTGTCAGTTAATGCTGTAATGGCTCAAACTTTTCCACCAGTCGTGACAAATTGTAACACAGGCGTGAGTAGGCGTAAGATCCAAGTTTTCGATCCACAGGCGTGACAATCACGCCTTAGGCGTGACACTTGGCAGGTATAGACCATATCGTAGGCTCAGGTGCACTACCTAACTCACCTATCTTTTGAAGTTATCTGCTTACCAGCTGATAACTTTTCATCAGAGGTAGTATGGCCTTAAGTATTGTGTCACATATATTTACTGTAATGACTAAGTGTAGATCCACATACAGGAGGTGTTTACTGACAGACTGAGGTTTCTGTCAGTGGAGGTTTGACTTGAGTTAACACTGAACAGTTATGAAGCTACTTACTAACAAGTCAGGGTTTTCATTAAGGGATGGGGACTGGGTATTTACCCCAGCTACTATGTATACGTTGACTACATAATATACTTTCCAAGGAAAATAGAAGAAATAATTCCAAAAGAAATCCTTAAATGTTTCAGTCCCCACCTACTTGTATTTACCTGGCAACTTATAATCTTGACAGCCCTGAACACGTTCATGTTATATGCTTGAACTATATAAACTAAGACACGTTTGATTTACCATGAAAAAATGAATAACGTGAATGATGTCACTGTCTTACCGAAAAAGAAGTTCTCTCCAGTACCCATCACAAGTGGACTTGGCCCTGAAAGAGCAATTTTAGAAAGAATTGTTAAGAACCAAAAGTGATTCACCCACAAAAATTACCTTAATCTTGAGCTAGAACTATATATGTTATGTTTTTTGGGGATTATTACAACTTAAGATTCCTCCTGCCCCTGCTCAGAGTTCCCCCCCCCTCCTGTGATCAGAAATTCCCATCTAACTATAGCTACTCCTTTGTTGGATATTGTAATAGTATAAATGATTATAATAGTATTTTAATAATTATTGTTAATAGTCACTTAGCCAATATGTGCTATGTAATTAGCTACATGTACTTTCAGTCCACTCCTCAAAATGTGTATGGCTTAATTAAACTCGTTCTCCGGGTCGAACCACTGGGAGTTACAAATAACGGGAGGAGGAGTATACTGGAACTGGAACTGTAAGGATAAGGGAAGGAACTGAAAGGCTTGGGGTATAGAATGGTAACCAAGGCTTTGAGAGATCTTAAAATTGGATTCTGAGTCTTTTCTTCTTCTAACAAATCTGAAACCTAGCTTTTAATGAGAGATATTGAGCGCTAAAATGAAACTTTAAGAATTGAGAAGTTACCAAACAAAAGTTCCTACAGAGCCTACAGAGTTAAAGAACTAACTAAAATCTTCAAATGGATTAGACTGTGAGCAGTCTTTTACTTTTCTTTGCAAGTTTCTTTTAATTTAACTGGGCTGTTTTGGAAACATGCTTGCTGTGATTTGCTGGGATATAAACTTGACAGATGTGTGTTGCATGGTTAGAGAAGTTGCTTAAAAAAGAAATAACTATTGAAAACTTCAATGGGTACTTCAGAGTTTTACAAGATTTTGAGACCTACATTTTCAAAACTTGAGACTCCCAGTGGGTCTAAATCAAATACAAACTGTCTCCTGACAAGATAATATTATTTAAATAATCATCTCTATTATTTTACTTAATACTATGCATCTGTAAATTTGATCTGTTGAGGCTTGGCCTTCTTAGATTAGTGGTACTAGCTACCTGTGGGCATGTCCTGAAAATATCAAGAATTTTGATTTCATTTTCAAAAGCCAGTGAGCGCCTTTGTTTGCCAGTAAAATTACAAACTAAAATCCTCTAATCCTTAGGTTATAAATTATATTGAAAGTGAAAGCTCTGCATTGAAACCTGATCTTTTTAAAGGAACAGGAACAACAGACGTCCAAGTGAAAGTGTCGAAAGTAAGTAAAATTTGTAGACTTCTAATAAAAACAATTATACAAATGAATGAATTGCCTTAACCTTTCTTTAGGAGCTAATATTGATTAATTTATGACATTTTAATTTGGAGAATGGAAATTTGTTCAGTTAGAGTAAAGATAAAGTTAAGTTCACAAAAATCATATCCAATGAGCTGGAAGTCACTAACATGTAAAAATGGGCTATTAGTACTCCAGTGTGCTTAAGGTATTTCCAGAATTTGGGACATAAATAAAGTTTGAATATTAGCCTTCTTCCTAACTATGCAGGGAGTGTTATCTTTTACGCACTTTAAATAGTGACATACTGTCTTTAACTTTGCTGTGTTTTTTATTAGCATCAAATAGCTCAATATAGTAAGATTAAATTAAGGCGATCTATTTTTTACTCACAGACACATGTACACACAATATACCTCAAAGTATTTTTGTTTAACACTTAAATTAGTTACACTTTTTAATGAATATGTTCTTTTCTAGTCATAGATCATGTCAATTATAAACAAATTAGGTTTCAAATGTTTCCTTTGAAGGACCATATCTAAAATATTTGTAATGATCTGAGATATTGTCAGTAGAATTTGAAGTTTGAATTAATTTGGAAAAATCTTGCTAAATTTAGGTGGAAATCAAGAAAAAAAAAAGGTATTTTCTGAAAGATTTCTATAGATCCCTAGAAGCTGTGTTCAAATGTAACTACTGAAAACAAGTTGTTTAGAGAAAAAATATGCAATGAGAATTTACAGATTTATATGATGAGCAAGACTTAATGCTTCATTGTTGTGTTATAAATTAATTAAATCCATGACATGGGCAACCACTAGGGCATTTGAATTTTTCAGAAAATTAAAGTTCAAATTTCCCCCTCCCCAGGCCAAAATGACATTCAAATACCCCATCAAAGGTCCAGTTTTGGTGATCAAATGCCCCCACCCACCCTGCTGGGCAAATATAAAAGTGATTGCTCTTTTAAACATGTAGCTTTCTAATGCAATTGAAGCGGTTGGTTTCAATAGACAACCTTCTACCATGAGGGTGCAAATCTTTCCTTTGTAAATCATCCAAAGATGCCATGCTGGCCCCCACCATAATTTACCATGCCTTGTTCAAGCACCAAGACACATCTCGTGGACTTGAAGCTGGGGTCCAAGGACCCCACCCCTTATGCATGATGGAGTCAAATCCCCCCTGCCATTCCCCCCCTCCTCTCCTGGAATCCTATAGGCAAAGGTGTCATATCCCTGGGGTATCCCTAAGGGAAAAAGATTTTGAAGTGTTGATTTTAAAACAATACATTATGGTGCAGGAAAGGCAAGATAATGTGCATTAATTCTAAATTGATGATTTGGGAGACCTAACTATTTAATCCGCAGGTATTTAAATCACATTTCTGGCAAAAAACTGGACAAATTTAACAATTTATAAAATTTTAAGTGATATCATTCATGTTAACAACACTAAATACTTAATACCAGCAACAGAAACTCCGTCTTGTGGAACCCATGATTTTAAATAATTTGTTGAACATACAAGTAATGATATATTCAAATACTCTTGTTTTCCTAGCTGAGAGCCTGAAACAGGCTATTATTTTCCTAGAACAAAGAGAGAATGGAATAGCCTCCCCTCTGATATTGTGTCTGCCAAATCTTTAGATATTTTAAAGTGATTACCTACAAGGAGCTTAGGAGGAGGTGACCCACCTTCAGTATTGTTATTTATTGTCAATTTATACCTGTTATTCTTTTGCATTTTTAATATTTCTTATTGTATTTTTCTTAAAATTTTGCATCATTTTTTACTTCCTGATGTAATATTAGCGTGATTACGGTACATAGCTTCTGCTGATTAATAAACGTTGATGTAGAACTAACAACTACTACTACCACATGCTATATGTCTTATCAGATTAGCACTGTGCTGAAATTTCGGGGTTTATTTAAAGAACATTACGCAGTTCATGAAATATTCAGCAGTAATCGTTTAACAAATTTTGGCCTGGATATAATGGCAGCAGACACGCTAAAACAAACAAGTAATCTACCCAAACACACATTAAATGGCAAAATGCTCTTTAAATGGTCGAGTCACAGCAAAAATATTAGTATCTTGTCATTTTTTGGTAGATCGCGTGACATGTAGAGGAATTCACGCTTCACGTACGTTGCAATGAATGACGATCGCGTTTTATCGAATGCTTTCTGGCAGTCTCACAAATGGCTACATTGGCTTCAAAAATCATATTACTTTATTGTATTATGCCAAAATGTAACATATTTTGCGTTGAAAGGCGATGATGTTGACGATTCCTAGGAATTAGCAAAAAGAACTGAAAGATTCCCTCGTCACCTTAGTTAGTGACGTTCAGTAGTAAACATAGCGCACGATAAATCTGATACTCTCTTCAAGCTTGTTGAAAACCATACTTCCCGAAAGCGAGTTTATACGTGACTGAAAGTTCGAAACCTAAGCCACGATTTTTCTTGAAAATGGAAGTTTATGTCTTGACGGGTTTTGAAATCCCATGCTCTCCCAGTGATCTAAGTTATACATTTATTAATATCGTTGCAAATGTCGCGTCGATCGCGCAATTACTCATGATAGTCCAGTATCAAAACTTACGTGCAGTTGCTTTCTCTCCTGTGATCTTTTCGTACAAGGACGGGTTCAACAGTTGAAGAGCGTCGACGAAATGGTAATAGCCTTCTTCTCCTTTTGTTGTAAGAACGTCGAGGAACTTGGCGGCCTTCTGCTCTCGAGTCTTTTCTGCTTGGACTAGATCGCAGTCTCCGAAGTCGAAAACATTTTTGCTTCTCAGGTAATCAAACAGAAATGTCCGATCTAGCTGGAGACGTTGGACAATTTCTACACGATTTGTTTCTAAAACTTCTTCAAACGTCAGCTCACCCATTTCCATGCTCAGCGCAGGGCGTCTGCAGACAAAGTACGTCGACTAATGATTTTAACCATTCATTCTTAAGTTCACTCAACTCGATCGAGGTACTAGCTGTTGAATGAATAAACACAGGAAGTCAAACCAACAGACCGTGACGTGGTCTCATACAGCTGTGATCGTTGCCAAGTTCTCTCTAAGTATTTTGTGATCAGAGTAGGGTCCTGTAGATGGGAAGACACCCACGAAGAATAAAGAGAAGATAATCCTCTTCACCTTTGTTTTACAGCAAAGATCCAAACTGGGACAAAGGTGTCAAAACTTTCTTTTAATATCTTGATTTCTTTTTCTAAACTTCCGTTGTAGTTTTTTTTTTGTTAAAAAAAATCATCTTATTAATAAACATATAAATATGTAGTCATCGAGGTTCAATTTTTCCTTCCATTCCTCGTTTGGATATTTATATATCTCTCTTTTTTTGTGAAGGGCCAATTGTGGATAAAACAAACGGAAGATAAAAAATGAACCAAAGATAAAATTAAAGCAACACTATACTGTCCAGTGAAAGGGCTTTTGGAAAAGAAAACAAAGCTTTTTGAGTACGTGATCACGTCTGGTTTCTGTTTAGCAATGAACGAAACAGTCTGCCTCACAACAATTTTATAGACCATGAATTTAGCTCTTTAAGGGCCCGTTTAAGTCGGTCTGACAGTCTGTGGGCGAAACCTCCTTTAAAATACTTGCTCGTTCTTTTTTTAGTGTAGGGACTTCTTTTTTTCGATTTTGCCTATTCCTAGCAAACGGAAAGGCTTATTGTCTGTTGTCTGGTCATGAGTAACTCATTTCGTTTTCTATGTTAATTAAACTATTCTCCTTTTGTTTGTGACCGACAGACAACATTCGAAATGAGCTGTGTCTTTTGATATTCACCTGCCGAATACAACTCTGAGTACGTCGCGGATCACTAAATGTACGACTGGATATACTGTATTGTCAGACAATTCTGAAGGGCCACTGCTCGCAGGGTATTTTATAATAAAAAGAAAGTCCTTCATTTAAAAGTCTCATCTGCTAGCAGCTTTCAGAACTTTAAAAGTATGAACTTGGCTGTTAGGGCGTCAACAGATCAAGCTGTGAGGTAAACGATAACAATACTGGATTTTTCTGATTGCCACTGTTCAGTCGTGTTTTCTTCAAGTGCTTTCAATACAAGTCCTTGAACGTTGTCAATAAGACTGATAACGCTTTGAATCTTCGCGGGACGAACTGCATGTGTGCGTAAAAGTAAGCAGATCACAGAAAACGAACTGGTACTATTATGCTAAACTTGGGCATTAAAAAAGGTTTACGGCCAATAGGCTCAGTTGGAAAATATGGACGGGACTCCGGACTGGACTTTTTCAAATGCCCAGAAGAGGTCGTGAGAAAAATGAAAATAATTCCTGGATTTTCACTGAACAAAGGCAACACTGGTTTAATTGACGTCCTTCTGGTTAGTGGAAACGCAGTTCTCACGACCCCTTCTGGGTATGTGAAGAAAGTCTACAGATAATGAAAAACAAACAAAAACAAAAACTCAAGTGCATTCCAGAGTCCAGTTCTCTTTTCCAACTGAGGCTCTGAGGGGGGATCCCCTCTTGCAGGTGTCGAATGGATTCGTCTTGGCAATTGCCTCCGATTGTTCTTAAATAATCGCTTCGTCATGCGTTCAAAAGGACGTCTGCGTGGGAGACTACACGAGTCCTGGCCACAATTATCGTAATCGGGGACGGGTGACGTAATTGCGTTTGTTCAAATAGTGGAGTACTTAATCATGGCTTGTTTTACTGTGGCGCAAAACGTTTTTCTAACTTCTAAATCTCAGTAGGACGAATTCTTTAACAACTAGCACGGAGCAATCAACTCCCTTAAACTCGCATTACGCCATTTTTACAGATCAGGGCCTGTTTCTCGAAAGTCCCGGTAACTTTTCTGGCGCGGAAAGCTGTTTTGTGTTTGGCGTGTTTGCATTCACGATCAAAGTTTCAATAATTTTGAAAATACAGTAATACAATGAAACTATCAGTTATCGACGCAATTTGGACTGGTTTGTGGGCTAGGAACTGTACTAATATTGCACTGAGGTTTTGATTTTAACGTTTTCCCTCGGGCCCGAAACGTTTCCGGGTCTTTCGAGACACGGGCCCCGGGCCCTAGTTGTTCAAAAGGTTGATAGCGCTAGGCCGCCGCATAAATATCTATCCAGTACACAGTTCAATTGTTTTCCCTAATACTTATCCACTGAATAGTGATTTATCTGGCCCTTGTTGTTTAAAAAGTGGATAACGTTATCAACTGGATCGCATAAATCTCTATTCAGTGGATAACGCAATTACTTTTCCTAATACTTATCCGCTGGATAGTGATTTATCCGGTGGATAGCGCTATCCAACGTTTGAACAGCTGGGGCCAGTTTTTTTTCAGGTACACGAATTTTGACTATCAAATATGTCCAACAAATCAGCCCTCTGCAGCAAAAATGAAAACCGGAAGGTGTTTGCGATGTTTCAGCGACGTCATTTTAGTTTTTTGTTCTCACGTATGCACCACAGTTGTGCAAAGAAATGGAGCGGAGCTTCCATTATCTAACGTCAAAGGGTGTGGCTTATAAACCCTCCAGTGTTCTTATTCTAGGCAAGTAAAAACTGCTTACTGGTGCGTTACCATCGGTCTGTTGAATTCACAATCTTTCACTTTTTGGAAAATGATTTGATCATCAGTTGCTATCAATACTGACATATGCATAAATCAGTTGTCTCGATGAAAGGGTTGTGGCCTCGTCTCGGACCTAAGCCAATATAAATTCATGCCCGCAATTAGTAAATGCCATCTACTGATGGCGGGCAATCCGGTACAGACGAATAATAGTTTTATGAATAAGGTTTATGCTTAAACTGAAACAAGAACATGCAGTTGTCCAGAGAACTTAGTTCTATTATTAATAATCAGCTTCAGCTGAAACCTTCCGGCTTCTTGTCAGCAAAAAGTAACGATGACTGATTTTCCATAAAATAAGCGGCGTCAGTTGTTAGGGAAATTGTGTACGTGTTCGTTAAAATCTAGAACATCGTTGAGTGGGCGGAACGGAACAGTTCCGCATAACGAAACCTTGAGCTTGCTTAAGATTTTTTTTATTTATAGGAACGTGTGCTTACTGTTAAAACGTATTTATAATAAGAATTGGAATGTCTAATTAAATCGATAGCGAAATACTGTTGTCATCTTTCCTCGCAGGGAAAGATTTAATAGCTATAAAAACGACGACACAGTCATATAGTTCAGATATTTCTCAGTCTTAATGAACACTTCTCATGGCTTTTTAAATTGCGTTTTTAAAACCTCTGCGAACAAGCATTACTTGAACTGACTGCGTATATCCGATTATTTGTAAGACATGGGCTTTTGGGAACAAAAATGCCTGACCGACTTACTATTCTTAATGAAACAAAACATTTAAAGGGCATATAAATAAACTTAGTCATTGGCTTCGTAAAGTGTTCGAAATATCGTCGTATTGACTGCTATTCAGTCGGTTCAAGAGCCATAATGTCGGTCGGTTTCATTATTGGAAGGAGAGCCGAGTGATTATTCGCAGAGGGAAGGTGCAGAAGGTTTTCAGTTTAATCACTGAATGTTTCCCAGAAAATCAAGGAGTGATTGAGTAAAATAGATCGCTTTGAACTCGCGTCGAGTGTATAACGGGGTAGTTAAGGAAATACAGCAAGGATGAACTTGAAGTTTCCTAGATGGTAATTCTTTAGTCGATTTTTTCATTAACGTACTAACTACAGAACTATTTCTTACCTTAACAATGCAAACAGGTCTATTCGGGATGTTCTCTCTTTCCTTACCAGGCAGTCAAAAATTAGAAATCCTTACCCTAGGCAGACTGGCACCTTTACTATATGCACACCTCTCTATTATAGTCAGTTCAGTTGCTAGACTTCATACAATCTCTGCGTCTATGATACGGACAGTTCTTTTGGTCCTTCGCCCAATGCCCGCCTTTATATAGCATGGACACTTACAACTCGGACACTCGGGTCTCGGCCCCTTAGCTTTGATGTCCCCGTGATGCCCTTATTTGGTGTTTTGTCTTTCCCGTTCCACGGCAGTGCTTGCGTACATAAGAGAGTCCTTATTATTTTGCACACAAGTGAAATCCTCTGAACTTTCCCAGATCGTGAGAGAGTTTCATGAGCTCTTAGACAAATTAATCTTTTTCGTTTTCACTCACTATTTCAGTCGATTTAACCAGGAAGCAAACTATGTTCCATTAGGAGACACAGGGGGAGTACCACAGGGGGAGGCCCCTCCCCCGTCCACATTTCCAGCTTTCTGTGGCTGTCCAAGCCACAGAATCCATCGAGTTCCCATCCCAGCAAGCGTGTTTCCAAACAACGCCATTACAAATAGCGATACTGAGGACGAGACGAGCTTACGCCCTCGTTTATCGCCGCTCGAGTCCTGGGTTACTTATGGAGTAACTTTGAAAAGAAAAATAAGAGACTTCTCGGATTCTATAAAAAAACATAACCATTAACCACCGAGTAGTAAATGGATAGAAGAGAAAGAGGGAGAGATAATTCATCTTAATGGTGATGTTTACTGCATAAACAGGATACAGCGATTTTGAAAAAAGTTAAACAGTGTGATAACTACCCTCTAAAGGTCTGCTTTCCACAAGAAGATCGATTTAACCTTCAAACTAAGACACAAAGGCTGTCACAGGCCCAAGATAAATACCGGACGTTTTAACAATACGTTTGTGAATACATCAGTTTTTAATTTAAATACGACCTTTTATGATGATTCTATGTATAGAGATATGTATATTTTTACAATAACTGAGCGAATCCTCGCGCGCTGATTGGTCGAGAGCTATGGTCTATGAAAGTATGGACCATGGAAATGACGTAACATTTTCCGAGAAACTTCACAGGAAACTAAAAATAAATGTTATAGTAAAAAACAAATCGATCACA